TATGTCAGCAGCTAGAACGTCGTCATCGATGGAACACTCCGTACAGAATTAGACATTGTGCATATTATTCTCTCTCGGCTGATTCCGTCTACACTTCTTCCAATGCCAAAATGAATTTAACGGGAAGTTTCCAATAAATGAATGAAGCATGTTAATGCGCTAAAGAATCATAGATCACGCGCTGATTGATTAATTGTTGATGCTGCTGCTTATTTGCTATTGTTTAAGTCTAATAATGTTTACATATACAAAATTGACTTTAAAGTGAAATCGTGAAAGCGTAAGCAGTAATTATTCATAATTATTCAATAGGGCGTGTGTCGCAATTGGATGCTTTTGACTTATATGAACACTTGTCATTACAAATTGCAAGCGCAGCATTTTTAAAAGCATGCCACTTATTTTTGTATACTGCTTTGTTTTGTTTTTCTTTTCTTTTTGTTTGGCATATTAGTGGACACAATCCAAAGGTATACTCTTAATATAAAACTTCAGGCAAAGCCAAATTTGAAAATAAGCTTAATTTACTATAGCGTCTTTGAATATATCCCCGACAAAACAACACACATACGTATTTACATCTATCACTACAAATTTTCATTAATATCTTGACGCAGATGACCGGTTAAATTTCACGTTATTTTTTGCATATCTGCCAGGGTCAATAGCTGTCTGGATCTACTACACAGCACGTGTGAGTAACCAATCGGAATAAGGACACTTTTATTTACAGTGTTCCTCCTTTTAACAGGGATGTAAAATTCCTCGGAAATAACTTCTTTTCTTCCATATGTAAGATATTATTAATAAATCCGGATATATAAGCCCCGAAATCAATGCCGGTTCAATTCTTTGTTGAACAATTGTCAACTATCTGATGAAGCAGAGTGCGAAGCTGGTGCTCTCTGCGCAACCAGCACGCCCCCAATAAACAAAAAATAAGCTTCGAGATTACGTAACGTGTTGGGTATCCATGATTCGATTCGAAATAATATATAAATTCCTTACTTGTCTTTTCTCCTGCAAAGACCGTTTGTTTAGCTACTGGAGTTTAAAATTTTAAATTAAGTTATTAAGGTTTTCGTTACTTAGTTTTTTCTTTTCTTTTCATTTTATAATTAAATTTTTTTTTTGTCTCCACAGATATATTTTTTTATTAACGACAATCAATTATTTATTTATTATAGACTTTTGTTGATTTTACTAAATAATTATTCACGAATAAACCCATAATTAATTTGTAATGGCTTGTGGGCGTTTTAGGAAATTACATTCACATATATATTCTATGGCTTATGTTAGAAAAAAAAGAGTAAAATATTTTTACACTTTTGTTAGCTCTCGGTTTCAAACTCATTCATGCATGCATACGGTCTAAACATATAAAAAAAATTTTTATCTAATATTTGCATCAATCTCATGTACGAGCGAATAGTAGGAAGTGTGAAATTGCATTTATTGTCATTAATTTTAAATGAATAAGACAATATCTTATGCAACCGAGACTAATAAACTATAAAACTGGACCATTCACTGTTGCCATTATTACTTGCAACAGCAAGGTTAAACAGTTATTCTTATTGATGCCCTTCACGAATAAATTACGAATTATTTAAGAAAATTTTATGACCAAACAATCCCAAATGCTTTAATTAAGCAAGACCCATTATTATTATAGTGTATCTCTATAGTACAACATTATAGTCTATTACGTTTTTCTCAAATTCTTTGTTTTTAGAATGTTTTATGCAAACTTTCGACGCGGGTTGGCCGATAAGTTTCCGACTCAAGTGAAAAAAAATATTTCTTTTGTCTAAAATATGACCTTACTCTGATCAACGTAGTCATTACTTTAATAATGATATAATCTTATGCCTAATGCTTGATACGATACGTATCGAGCACCTTGCTCCGATATGGCCACAGTTTTTCCTTCTCTAATCTTTGTTCGATAGCCATCGAGCACCATATTGTGAACTTGAGCGATATTTCCTTTAGTG